GTGAAAACTTATTTACTTTGGTTACCCCTCATGGATATGCATAGGCAGCTCACCGGCATTATTCATTCAACACTGTCCTGAACAATCCTTTCCAGGCGATATTCATCCTTTCCATGTCTGTTTACAAGTCTCGACGCAGTGTGTTTTTTGAACTTCCTCGTCTTCGTTTTCCTTCAGGATTCCAAGTTAGTGCTTGCCTCGTGATTTCCGTGATGTATGTCCTATCTTCTTCCATCGTCGTTTCCTAGTTTCCACATCAGCTGAAATCTGGTTTGTTCTCTCCCACAGTAGTCTGTTGGTGATGTTATCCGACCAATGGACATTGAGTGTGTTACGTAGACAATTGTTTATAAATACCTGTACATTTTTGATGATGGGTGTGGTTGTTCTGGAAGTTTCAGCTCTATACATCGGAACTGTCTTGACCTTCGTATTGAAGTTTCTGACTTTGATGTTGGCTCACAGATAGGTGTTTTGAGTTCCATATGTTCTTCAACTGTAGGAATGCTGTCCTTGCTTTGCCAATACTCACCTTTACGTTTGAATCAAATCCTCCTTGTTCGTTACGAACGTTGCTGCTACTTTGGCATGGTGATCGAGCTTGCCTATCGTGATGAAGCAATCGAGCTATACTAGCTGAAACAATCGTTCTTCAAGGTCCTACCATATCAGACAGGTCGGTTGAAGAACGGTAAGACTAAAAGCAACAAACCCAAGGTCCGAAGGCGAAGTCGTACTGCTGACTGTACAGAGGTGTGACGGCAGTAAGGTGTTTCCTTCAGACAATCAGCATAACAGAGATGCTGCCTTCCCACAAGGAGGAATGGGGTTAGAAAAGGTCGACCCTAAAAATGCACACCGCCTAATCCCATTGATATCTGTATCTGGTGGTAAGGTCTCAACAAATACGGAGCTAACACAAAAATTACCCATAAAATGGTCGTGTGTGACCGACCTCAAGCAGTTGTCCCTTGGGCACTACGGTCACGCTCTCAGGTCACTAAGACCACCTATAATCCAATTGCCTTTTCAGTTACCCTAGAATCTCATACCATTGATGTATGCTGTCTCCAAAACCCACATATAGGATCCTAGTGTGTTCCTTCACTTGAGCTCACCTCGCCAAAACGGAGAGCCGACAAGATACACTTCCGTGTGTCTGGCGACCCGATGGCTAGTTTCCGTGGATTGGCAAGTGTAGGTATAGCACTAAGTACGAGGGCAGAATAAGCACTTTGTAGATCTAGAAGTACTTCACTTTTTATCCTTAGTTTGGGTGTTGACACAGACCAGTCGATGCAGCCAATGACGAGGTCTGAAACCAGCCTGATTTCATCGTGTTTGCAGTTCATGAGTTTTTGTTAGGCGTCTGATAATTATTGAGGCTAGTATTTTATATGCTATATTAGTTAAACTATTCCCTCTATGGTTATCACAGGATGATTTTGGCCCCTTATTATATATTGGGACAATCAGTGATTGTGACTAGTCAGATGGGATTACGTCCAACTCCCAGATTTGAGCTAAAATATTAGTCAACCTAATCGCTAAAATTGGACCCCCATACTTAAAGACCAGTTGATCCTCCTCGTTTCAGATTAGCTATAGCCTTGGAAACCTCAGGTCGAGTCGCGAGACCTACTTCAACGCCTTATTCAAGCTCTTTGAGAATGGTGGGTAGTTTTACAGTAGCTGAAGGCCAGCTGAAATAGTCATTAAATTGTTCTGCCCACCTTTCTAAACGTCTGGGTTGAGGGCAGATAAATGTTTTCTTTTTCTGAGATCGTCCCACCTACACTTGACTTATTACTTCCGATTTCTTTCATTAGTCTGAAAAGCTGTCTTGTGTTACCTACAGTCGCTGCCTTTTCCATCTCTTTTGCTTTCGTTGCTCACCACTGCACACGGTCATTCTTCAGACTTTTGGTTAACCAAGATCTGATCTGCTTTCGCTCTTCGTGTTCAGATCCTGATGGGATAAGTTTACGAGAATCCATCAGTGAAATAGACTTAAAAGTCCTTTGGTTTTTTGTGACTGTTTGGTTTAAATCATTAATAGATGTTGCTGCTTGTTGCACAGCTGCTCTTTACAAGCAACATCTGGGTCAGCCTCGTTTTCAGAACTACCTAAGTGTGACCTCAGTTGTTCCTGGAACCAACTTTTGGTTTACTCATTACTCAATTCAATTCTAATGGGTCTTCTTCTGCATCCAGTGAGGCGCATGCAGATGCGTGCCCGTATTAAAGCATGACCGGAGTCCAAACAGGTATTCCAGAATAGGCGACAGTCTCCTATCGAGCCTCTCCGATGACTGACGGCAATATAGTCTCTTTGAGCCCATCGTTGATTTGATGTAGGCGGTCGCCATGTTAGACGATGTCTCTCCTTATGCTTAGAACTAGTGCTTGCTGAAAAATAAACGGTTGTCTGAGCACAGTTGCAGCAGATGATCACCATTATCTGTTCGCTGTGCCGGGATAATAAAATACCCACCTAAGAGTCTTTCTGTTTGGTTTAAGCTACCTACTTGGAAATTCGAGTCACCCGCTACGAGTAATATGTCTGAGCGCTTAGCTTTATAAAGTTCAGAGAGCTTTCTGCAAAACTCAATTTTCACTTCATCCGTGTTGCAGTCAGTGGAAGCGTAGGCAGAAACGATGAAAAGGCAACATGTGTCCCTATCCTCCCAAATTCTTACGAAGCCGTTTACCCGAACAGCACATAGACGACTGTTAACGGGAATCCACTCTAATAGTGCTTGTTCTGCCCTCGTACTTAGTGCTATGCCTACACCCGTCAGTTGTCTAGTGTAATAAAATGTCTGACTATTTTTCAAAACTAATTCAAATGAAACCAGTGTTTCAATACCGATTGACACCTGATCCGTTTATAGAAACTTTGAGTATTGCATTTAACTAAATAGCAATTTCGTACAAATAGTTGTCTGAAACCAATGCTCATCTATACTTTTCGATGGGATGGTAGCTAGCCCTGAACCTAGCTTGGTTTGATTTTTAGTTGTAACAGAAGCTGCAACCAATTTGCAGATACTGATCCTTTGACAACGATGAATTTGTCGGCCACTGAAAAGTAAGGTAAGTTTAGCGCAAACAGAACATGATCTGAGTTCAGGTAGGTAATCCAAAAGGAGAGACAGTCTTGTGCACAATCACGCTAACGGTAGCTGATCGAGATGTGACCAATCTGAGTCCACGTTCAAAATGCAGGGGAAGGACGCCGGGTAGCACATCGGCGATGACTGTGTTAGTAGGAACAAGTTGTAGTCTGCGCACAGTTACAGTAGACGGTCACCGTTATCGGACCTGGGACCAGCAAGTCCCCATTGGCCACTTAAACGACTCTTTTCTGTGCCTAGACGCCCGACCTAAGCATTCAGATCTCCGGATATCTATCAAACGTACTTTCTGTAGAACTGTTAACTAGTAATAAAACTCATTCTTGATTGCATCTGGGCTGCAATCCGTCGAAACATAGACGATGACGAAAATACATCGTTCCTCACCCCGATTTCTTCTTACTTTGATGGAACTTTCTAACCTAACATCACATAACCGACTGTTAGTGGGGATCCAATCAATCAGTACTGCCTCACCTCTAGAAATTAGTGCGACAGCAACGCCAGTAAAACAAGACGAAGATGCCACAGGGTCCCCGGATAAATGCACTTAGAACAAGCTTTTCGAGGCGATAGATGGAGTGCGAATTCGTTGTACCTCACTAACATTGAATACGGGTCTCGGATAGACAACGGACGTCGATATTAAAACTTTCTAATGACACAGCCAGCCCTATCTGTTATCCGACCTACATTAGTCTGCGAAGTAGGTGGTTCTCTTGGGGGATCACATCCGGAGTCTTAAACCTAAAGGTCCAACCCATAAGACAGTGCAGCAACGTAAGAAGATGCAGTCTCATGGCAGTCGGTGACCAACAATAGGTTTATACGCCATTTGATTCTTCAGGATCCTGGAGCGCATATGCACCATTGGTTTGAAATCAGGGTTTTCCAACCAACCTAGGTAGGTCTTCCGTGTTCATCAATCCAGTTAAACAGCCAGATATTCGCTTTTCGTCCTCTCAATCGCGTAAACAACACCTGCACCGCGAGAAGGCAGTGAGTGGAACTTTCCTGGCTGTGGTTGTATATGAGTGACCATGTAAAAGCATTTCGAGAGGGAGAGCGGACTCCCCACCCTCGGCCGTACCAGGGCAATTGGGGGCCAGTTGTCCCAGGGAAATACCTTATTATTGTAATGACTCTACTCTTGGGCATTGAATCAGTACTTTCAATCTTACCGTTCTCCAACCAATCTGCCTGGTGTGGTTGGACCTAAAGAAACGCCCTCTAAACAATATAACTCGGTCGAGTCACAACAAACAGGCCCGACCGCCACGTCAAGGTAGCAGGAACGGTAGTGGAACATCGGACACAAAGATAGATAGCTACAGTATTAAGGAAGCGTCTGTACTCTTATTCTTGTGTCACAGTAATCTAGTGGTAGGAGTGGGCCACGATCTTAAAACCAGGGTCCACTACCGTACGTTTATAACTAATGCGTTAAGAACTCTAAGGGCCTAAAGGTGGACACGTACCAAGTTGGATACAATTATGCTCATACATAATTTTAGTGAGATAAAGACTTAAAGCCTAAGTTCAGGTTTTAAGCCTCTATTCCAAAAGAGAATTGGACAGATGTATGTAATTCCAGAAGTTCGATGTTTACCCTACACAGGGGGGCCTAAGAAGTTAGACCTCTTTACTCTGTCCTGCTACATATTAGGATGATCTGATTTTGATAAACTAAATATTTAGGAACGATTTCGGATCTGACATATCCTCCCATTTTTCTCACCAGATTAGGACAACTCAGAGGATATCGCAGGGGAGTACAGAAACCAAAAACGAACAAAATAGCTTCGGTATACAGATCTTCACGAGTCATCAACTCTTGAAATCTAATACCTGAAGAAATGATTTCACCGACATTCTATCTTCAATATACAGATCATAATCTTACGACAAATTAACTAGTCATAATGTTCAAAACAGAGTTCGTAATCAGTGTTAGAAAGTGAGACTAGAATTTAAGGTAAGATACTAGAACCATGGTTTTCATTACGAACTGACATCAGCTATAACGCGAAAATACTTTGTAGTCATACGAATGGATGGATTCCAAGCAAAAAATCCTGAAGATACTACATTAAATCTAATTGGTTTGCCCATGAAGTTTAGTTTAACCCTACAAGCGACCTGAAGTCTGTATAAGATCAAGTGACTCACCAACAATAAGTCCGTTAATTTTTACTGAAAGTAAAAAGGCGTAATAACCAAAAAAAACATGTCTAAAGCGTCTAAATTCACACTAAAGCAGAACAACTATGAACCTGATAAATAAGCAATTTAAAATACAGTATTAGCTATGAGTTCTGTTTACTCAAAGTGCAAATTGTCACAATTAATCTTGCGAAGGCCGGATGAATTCAATGGGTTCCTCGTAATATTTTGCATAGAAATAACCCACTAAGATGGTATACAACACCGTCATAAAAAGCATTCCCAAAACTCCTTTATGATCATTCCTCAATTCAGTGGCGGACATCATAGATTCACGATCAGAATGTTTCGCCCAGAACTCATTTAACGTTCGGTTGTGTTGTTTTACATAGAATGATTTAAAACTGTCTGTGCTTCTGTCTTTTACAGAGTCAATTGTGTAACCGTCCTTAGAGAAGTGATGCACGCCACTGCCTATTGTATGAATTAGGCCACGGTCATATTCACTCCGTCTAACAGGATTTCCAAGGATTTCATAAGCTTTTGTCAACTCATGAAACTTTTCTCTAGAGTTAGGATCATCGGTCACATCAGGATGGTATATTTTTGACAGTCGATAGAAGGCTTCTTTGATATCTTGGTGAGTCGCATTGCTTGAGAGTCCGAAAACACTATACAATGAGTCAACTTTTGAGGAGAATACAGCTGATAATCTGTGATTGATACTGGTAGACACTAGTGAAGGAAATTTCGTAGCTAAATGAAACTAAAGTTGGTGAGATGAAAAGTCCACAAACAAAACGCTACCATTTAAGTTACCCGCTACGGTTCAAATGGTTCAAATGGTTGTGGACGGAATAGAAGAAGCTTTCGCTTAACAGGCTTCCGTGTCTAGTAGCAGGGGATCACCAAATCATCCAGGCAGGAACCTAGGTATGTTAACAATAAAAGAAGAAAAGAAATTGGTAAATCATAGTGTGATGATGTCCTTGGTCTTTAGGAATAGATCAAGTTGCCTCTTGAAGGACTCCTGAGAAGTCGCTTGGACTAGCTCAGCCGGCAGCGAATTCCAGCTTTTGACAACTCTCAAGAAGTAGAAGTTGTGTCTACATTCCGTCTTGCTATGTTGTGTTTCCAGTTTCTGGGTGTTACCCCTTAGGTTATTATTCGAACTAAGCTTGAGTAGGTGTTTAAGAGAATGTCCAGAAGTGTTAAGAATACTATAAGCCATTAATAAATCACCTCTAAGATGCCTATACTCTAATGTGTAAAGGTCTAGTGAATGGAGGCGTTCTTCGTAAGGCTTAGATTTGAGTCCGCGAACTGATTTCGTGGCTCGCCGTTGGATACTCTCCAAAGTGACCTTGTCCTTTTGGAGTGAGAGGGGAGTACTATATTTCCGTATTCTAAATGGGGACGGATAAAACTATTGAAGATTGTATGGAAAGTTCTTCCGTCAAACTGCCCAAAAATGCGCTTCAATGTTACCAGTGCAAGGTTTGCTCGGAAGGCATTTTTGTCACAATTAGCGTAAGACTTTAAATCATGGGGCACCAGGACTCCTAAATCTTTTTCGACTTGGGATACTACTAGAGGGGAGTTTCCTAAGTTGTAACTGTAGTTTGCGACATGTCGCAGATGGACTACTTTACACTTGAAGTGTTAAAGGTAAGTCCGTTATCGTCTGCCCAACTTTGAAGTCAAGTCAGATCCTCCTGAAGTGCCTGTAAATCGTCTTGGTTGCGTATCTCTCTCCAAAGTTTCGCGTCGTCGGCAAAAAATTATAAGTCTGACATTACCTGTTGAAGAAGATCGTTTATGTAGATCAAGAAGAGAGGAGGCCCTAATACTGAGCCCTGGGGGACCCCACTAGGACATTCCATAGCCTGAGATAAAGTGAAATTAACCCTAACCTTAAAGTGTCGATTTTTTAGGTTTGAAGTAAGCCAATCGATTAGAGGTGGTTTGATACCTAGTCGTTCGAGCTTATTGATAAGACACAAGTGGTTAACTTTATCAAAAGCTTTTGAGAAATCAAGGTAAATGATATCAACCTTTCACTTGCGATCGAGGATGCTTGTCCATCTGTCCACCGCAGTCAGCAGGTTGGTTATACAAGAGTAACCCTTCCTGAAACCATGCTGTTGGGGTGAGAAGAAATTTAAGGACAGTAGATAGTCGTTTAAACCATCGCATATCAGGGAATCCATGAGTTTTGAAGGTAATGACAGAAGAACCACCGACCGATAACTTGAAGGTTCATTGCGTCGACCACCTTTGAAAATTGGTGTGATGTGAGCCAACTTCCAATTTTCAGGTAATTTGCCTCGGCTTAGTGAGTGTGAAAACATCACGCTAAGCGGCGTTGCCAGGATTGAGGCTGCCTACCTCAGTATGGTAGGAGGAACCATATCCGGGCTGGGAGAAGTATTTAGTCTTAAGTGCTGCAGTTTCCGGAACACCAAGTCAGCGCTTAGGTCCACTTCGGAAAGTCCTGTGGAACTGCAGATGAAACTGTCGTCAGTAAAGTTGATGTCAGCCGGTTGAAATGTTTGAGAGTAATGTGCCGCCAGAAGGTTAGCGGCGTCACCATCGTTGTTGGTCGAACCGTTAAGATCTAGCAGTTGAGAAACTCCTGTTTTGGCTTGACGAAGAGAGGCTGCATAACGGAATAGGCTTCTAGGGTTCGAGGCAAATTTGTCCATAAGCTTTGTCTGATAATGAAGCCTGTCTTCTCTTATAGCCTTCGTGCATATGTTCCTGATATGTTTATATTGCCTATACGCTCCGTCGTTATCAGTTCGTTTGTATTCCGCCCAACAATGCCTTTTACGGCTTAGCTCACGAAGGGTACGGTTCTTGATTACTGTAGGTGGCTTACAGCTTTTGGGAACCGTTTGAGGAACTGAATGGTTTGTAGCACATAAGAGCGTGTGCAGTAAGAAGTCCCAATGACCGTCCACATCGAGTTGGGGGTGAACAGCCCAAACCACCTGTTGTAGATAGTCATGTAGAGCTGGCACATTCAGCCGTTTAAAATTCCAACGCAAATTATTGTTGGGATACCTTAGCTTAGTTTCGAGGACAAAACTGAAGGCTATGACGGCATGATCGCTCTTTCCCCGAGGAGCCAGGATTGAGAGGTTGTCAACTAGGAATTCTTCGTTTGTGAATACACAGTCTAACCGCGATGGTGTCTGGCTGTTTCTCCAACGAGTTGCCGACCTCACATTTTCATATAAGCCCAAGTCATCGATGAGGTTGAAGAACCGAGCTTCAATTGAGTTGTCGCCTCCAGTGTACGTGTGTTCCGCGAAGTTGACTCTAGGGAGATTAAAGTCCCCTAGAATCAGGATGTGTGTGAAACCGAGACGGGTAGAGCGGGATATTCCATCCAGCATACGACTATCGTACTCTATGTCGGCAGTTGGCTTCCTGTAATGACTCCGACTAGACAAATCGAAGTACTAGATAATCTTACAGAACACCATATGGATTCCTCAAGATTGTTAAACTCGAGGTTGTGAACTTGGTGCACCTCCAAGCAAGAGCTTATGTATATGGCTACTCCGCCCCCAATTCCTGTTTTTCTGTCGTTGCGGAACAAAGTCATCCCAGGTAATGCTAACTCTTGGTCTGAGAACTGAGAAGACATCCAGGTTTCAGATATTCCTATCAGATGGGCCTCATTAGCGTTGCTAAGTTCATGTAATTCATCCAGTTTGTTCGGTAGACTCGAGGCGTTCATATATAAGCAGTTTATGCTTTCAATTTGGAACGCATGAGCTTCGTCCTGTTTTTCTGTATGAGCCTTATGTGAATGGACAGGTAGCCCACCTATGTGATGTTTACCGAGGTGGTAGGCCCTGTCCTTTACACGTTTTTTTTAATCGTTTAGACAATCCACAAGTAGAATGGTCAGCTCCAACTTGCCTTTGTGCTTGGTCCTGGCTTCATATGGCCTATCCGAATGCTTGTGGATTCCAGGTGGCAATCGACGTCTGTTGGCACGAAATGCTTCCAGAACTGCAGCCGCCATGTGGTAAGATGGGAAGGTTATCTTCATTAGACGGAGTCTAAGATCACCGTCCTTCTTGGCTAGCCTCGCCACATGCTGAGTCAGTATGTGTTTTAGCCTAGAGGACTGTTTGATGAATTTCCATTCCCTGATGTCAGAATTTGATTGAGTAGGGTCTGCATTTTCCGGTATAATTTGCACAATTATGTTTCTTCCGCGGAAAAACTTCTCGCGAGATTCTTTAGGGATATTTCGTATGATATTGCGCTCAGAGAACGGTATGTCGGGCAATATTCTTACGTTACCATCTGATTTCAGCAAGTGACTTGCTAATAAGACGTCCTCTACATCGATAGCATTCTTAAGTGTTACTCGGAGAAGCCTCGGGTGATTTAGATGCTTAGAATCCTTTCCTCGAGTGAGCCGAGTGACCGTCAAAATCTCTATTCTTGGAAGTTCGAGCTTTTTGTTCAATTCACCCCAGAGCATCCTGTCATTTTTGTCCTGCAGACTGAGAGGAAGGTCAGGATTGTCAACAAGGTTCATGATAATGAGAGAGTCATCACGAACTGTTGTTAATTTACCAGGTTTCACGATGGGTTCATGTTTAATAACTTGTTGTTTGGAGGACAGTTCGCGTTTTTGATTCTTGGGCTCCTTATTTACCGGACGAACAGTCTTGGGGGTGGACTATGCGACCAAATCGCCAGTTACTTTCCGTACAGCAACAGCTCGGCTTAGGCGGTGATGCCTGGTTCATTTGGGCTTTCTTAACGTGGGTCGAATCACCTACAGGGTTTTTAGGAACCACTGTTGTGTTCAGGGACCCTGAGCTGGGAGACCCGAGTTTGCTTAGGGAGTCTAATACCGTCGATGTTATGACGGTGCTGAGCCTCGACACGTCATCATTAGTGTTGATGGATGCTCCATCGATGGTACACCTATCGACATCCCTATTTTTGTATCTGTCGCACGCTCTTGTTTGTCTACCGGTTTTTTAATATCGTTATCCGAGTTAACTGACAACTTGTTCCGAAGACCTGTCAGTAGGACAATGATGTTACTCAGCAAGACTACAGCGTCTGTGCTGCACGTGACACATACCCACTTTTCGTCTGACTTGCTGAGTCTGTTGTAAGCAGTTGCTGTCAGATTTGTGGATGCTTTGTGGAACCAACCTTTGTCAAAGGGAGGCTGCATCACGAAAAACGTTTTTGAGGTAGGAGAGGAATTTATCGGTAAGCTTTATGTGGTACTGAAACTTATCTTTTCTTATTGCATTTATGTATATGTTTCTTGTTTTTTTTTAACTGCCTGTATGCGCCGTTGTCACCAGTTCGTTTGTATTCCGCCCAGCAGTAAATTTTGCGGATTAGCAAACAAAGAGTATGGTTTTTGATGACTGCAGGTTGCTTGTAAATTTCGGAGACCGTTGGCGGAACAGACGAATTTGATGATGATGATATTACTACTACTGCTACTGGTACTACTGTTACTGCTACTACTACTAGTGTGGTGTGTGCTACTTTTAATTATATAAGCAGTTTATGGTTTTAGGCGTGAACAGAAGGTCTGTCAACAGAGAGACACGAGGACTGAACAGTAAGGATGAAATTTCTATGAAAATGCAAGAACAATGAAGTCTGAGTAATAATGAGACAACTGGTGAAAATTTTGCAAATTAAGCATGTACTTTATGAATGTTAGATTTTATTAACAATTCCTGTAGTTTTGTGTTAAATACATTCGTTTGTCCCCACTGGTGTTCTTGTTCACTACACCAGGATTAGAAAGTTCTTATTTAGGAATTTTTCGTTTGTAAATAC